GAAAGTGTCGACCCGGGGACAAGATTGTAGCCATTGGTGTCTGCCCGGGGTGCCTGATGCCTGGAACGAGCTAATATACTCCACATTGGTTGCTCGACAAATTTAGTTACGCATTCTTTATAAAGAGAGCAAAATCTTTGGAATTTTTGTAAGCGATGCCGATTAGTATAGTATCAGTTGTTTGTAAAATTAGGACAACACATTCTTGCTTTTGTGAGAGAATATATACTGTGGTTAGACTGATTGCAGAAGCTTTTAGCTGTGAGAAAAAGGCAAACACTGTTGGACAACATAACCAATATCTGGACTGAGATAAAATTTTGTAACTTTTGGCATCATATGGGATTTTTGTTTGTTCAATGATAGTTTCCTCTCGTGTGCGACTTTTGTAAAACAATGTACATTGTTTTATAATTTTTTCTTCTTTTCCGTTTTAAAAGATTTTAAGGGGTACACAAGCACTCACTGGCATTGCATTTGCTGTATTTGGTTTTGGTACTTGTATGAATTGTAATGCATTTTATAATGTTGGTATATAAATAATTCATGATCTAATGTTAAATGCAGTACAAAAGTTACTTGAACTTAGATAACAAATGTTATTAGAAGTTACGGAAATGTTGGTTTTCCCACATGGGCACCTCTTGATGTGTCAAATTATGTGTTAAGACGTCGTGATCCTAAATTTTGAGATTTTGTAATCTTTGAACCAACTCATCATGTTAACTCCAGTCAATTATTTACTCGGGTATTAGAAAAATTTGAAATTTATTTAATTCCCAAGCCCATTTAAGTGGGCTATTTAATCGAAATATATTAATCCAAGCTCAACATTATTTATTCAATTTATTTAACAATTTTTAATTTTCTAAAGCCAAGTCAAGTAATATTTCAAGTCTAAGTCGATTAAATTATAGGCTGATTTTATAAGCCCAATAGAAGTCAAAACCCTAGTTCATCTAATGTGTGTATAAATACCACACTTGCCCATTTTTCACCCTCCATTCCATAATCTTCCACCTACAAACCCTAGTTCCACCTTATCCATTCCAGAGCAATCCATCTTCTTCAAGATCCACCACCATCTTCCATTTCCGGCCACCTCTCCGGCGAGCCGCAGTCCTCCGGTGACCTCCCGCCGGCGAGTACCAGGACCACGCGACCACACGCCGGTTCCACAGCCCGCAGCTTCGAGTTCACGCCACCCCGCGGCTCAGCCTCGCGTCGCGCACCTTCAGGCCACAGCTCGCACGCCTCCGCCGTCCGTATGCAGCAACCAGCTCGCTCCCGCACCCATCCGTCCGTACGCGTCCGTCCAACCCGGCTCGAGTTCGTACCACGCCGTCCAGCGAGCTCCCGCGTCCGTATACATAGAAACTACAACAAAGTTGTAAGCTTTGCACTCTTTTTTTTCATTTTACTTTTCGAGCATTACAAAATGTGCAGTTCTTAATTTTGTGGGCTGTTCTGTAGCTGTGAAGTAAAAGGGTATAACAAGAAATGGGTCTGTCTGAATATTTGCCTCTATTTTATTCAGTGGAGAAAGGAATCTCTATTTCTTTATTCACATGTTCATGTCTGAAATTTCTTCAACTTTCTTGATTTAACACTGGTTTGGCTTGAGTGACGATGTTCAATGCCTTTTACTTGGAATTCAATTGATAAAGTTAGGGAGTGAGTGATCCCAATTTGATGATCTGTATTTGTATTTGTATAAATTGAGCCCATTTTTTATAAATACAAATAGACTATTAAATTGTCAAACAAAGATACAGAAACAAAATTTAATTGGCCCCATTTTTGTAAATACAAATAGACTATTAAATTGGGACCACTCACTCCCTATCCACTCCCTATCCACTAGCTCTCAATATCTCTCACGTCTCTCACCTCCATCTCTTCCCTCTCTATCATTATCTCTCAAACAAAAAATGACTCGTCATTCACGTCTCGTCGTTTTGCTCCTCGTCGCCGCCGCCGCTTCTATGGTCCCCGCAGCAACCTCGATGGACCTTGTCACTTACTCGATATGCAATGGTCGAAATATAATAGTTCAACTCGAGGACCTCATTGCAAATGACAAGACTCATATGTGGATATTATTCTCCTTTTATATTACTAGTACAAGAATGTAATTCATTCAAGTCTCCTCTTTACTAGAATTTGGGGAAGACATTCTCTCTGGTTGAATCACGATTCTCTAGGACTTCTAACAAGCCATAAAAGCTAAGTAAGAGTTATGTCATGTATTTTCGAAATTATGAATGATGCTCAAAATTGTGTAAAAAATGGAATAAGAAGATGTACATGTTTTGGCTCTAATATTGGGATAGTAAGAGGACATAAATTAACTTAAGAAGAGAAAACTATGCAAAGGTCACAACAAATATCAACAAAGAAAAAAAAAAACTAACTAAAAAGGGTTAATAATGCTAGTAACATGCCTACTACAATATTTAAGTAGCCACTGCAATTAATTAAGGATAAATAATTGAGCATGAGATTCAAAGGTATCATTTTCAAATTAACTTACCGAGTGGCAAGAGGCTAACATCTGAAGGTCTTGGACAAGGTCTCTCATTCCTTTGTCTTCCGGCCACTCCATATAAGCAACAATAATCCGAATCTTTTGGCCCGATAATTCTATTGATTTTTTCACAAATGTAACAATGTCCTTAAATACATTTTGGTCTTCTTCTTTCCCTGTTGGTTGGTGGATGATGTATCCAGCTCGGGTTTCCGAGTTAATTTGAGGCATATGGAAAAAGTCGTAGCACAAAATAATTGTTTGCTCGATCATCTCTAATATATGTCTTATTACAACCAACTCGAGTTTTTTCTCAGCTTAGAGCTGCCGGCGGAAAACGAAGACTCGACAACCATAGTTGTTCGGATACTCTCCGTTGCCGACACATCTGACGGTATAAACATGGGTACATACCCCATACCTTCTCGCACTCGGCAGCTCCTCGTAACCCGCCGCGACTGTGGCTTGATAAATGAACATCGTGACACTACACAACCCAAAACCCAAAGGATGGGATGAACGTAATCTCCGAGAAGACGAACATCCTCATCTCGCCCCGCATTTCTCGGTTGGCATCAGGGGCGAGGTGAGGGCGTTCGTATTCTCGGATTACGCTCATCCTATCCTTTGAGTTGAGTAGTGTCACGCTGTTCATTTATTGGACCACAATCGCGGCGGGTTACGAGGAGCTGCCGAGTGCCGGAAGGTATGGGGTATCATACCTATGTTTTATACCGTCAGATGTGTTGGCAACGCAGAGTATTCGAACAACCATGATTGTCGAATCTTTGTTTTTCGCCGGCGGCTCTTAGCTGGGAAAACTCGGGTTATTCGTGATAAGAACTATATTAGAGATCTACATCAGAATAATTCTTTTGTGCGACTTTTTTTCTTATGACGTGTTTCAAATCAACTCGGAAACGCCGGCTGAATACGTTATCCACCAACCAATAGGGAAAAAAGAAGACCAAAATGCATTCGAAGACATTGTTAGGTTTGTGGAAGAAGCAATAGCATTATCGGGCCAAAAGATTCGGATTATTGTTGCTCATATGGAGTGGTCGGAAGACAAAGGAATGAGAGACCTTGTCCAAGACCTTCAGATGCCAACCTCTTACCAGTCGCTAAGTTAATTTGAAAATGATAGCTGAATCTCAATTATTTATCATTAATTAGTTGTAGTGGACTACTTAAATATTGTAGTGAGTTTGTTACTATTAATATTAGCCCTTTTGAGTTGTTTTGTTATTTTTATCTGTGACATTTGCATGATTCTCATTATCATTAATTAGTTGTAGTGAACTACTCAAATATTGTAGTGGGCTTGTTACTAGTAATATTAGCCAATATTACTAGTAACAAACCCAATACAATATTTAAGTAGTTCACTGCAAATAATTAATGATAAATAATAGAGATTTAACTATCATTTTCAAATTAACTTATCGTGGCATGTGAAGGTCTTCGACAAGGTCTCTCATTTCTGTCTTCCGGCCATTTCATATGAGCAACAATAATTCGAATAATTTGGCCCAAAAATTCTATTGCTTCTTCCACAAACCTACCAACGTCCTCAAATACATTTTGATCTTCTTCTTTCTCCGTTGGTTGGTGGATGCTGTATCTAGCTGGCATTTTCGAGATAATTTGGAACACGACGAAAATAGTCGTAGCACAAAAGATTATTCAGATGGAGCATCTCTAATATAGGTCTTATCACGAGTAACACGAGTTGTTCCAGCTCAGAGCCGCCGGTGGAAAGCAAACACTCGACAATCGTGGCTGCTCGACGATTCCGCGTTGTCCACACATCTGAGGGTACAACACATTGGTACGATATCCCGTACCTTCCGACACTTGGCAGCTTTTCGTAACCTACTGCAATTGTGGCCCGATAAATCAACAACGTGACACTACTTAATCCAAAGGATGAGATGAACGTAATTTCTGAGAAGACGAATGCTCTAACGTCGTCCCGGATGTCAATCGAGTAGTGTTGATAATGAAGGTGTGTCCGAATGCCACATCCGGCCACACCATCATCTATTGACACTACTCGGTTGACATTCGGGGCGAAGTTAGGGCGTTCGTCTTTTTGGAGATTACGTTCATCCCATCTTTTGTGTTGAGTAGTGTCACGTTGTTGATTTTTTAGGGCCACAATTGCGGCAGTTAACGAGGAGCTGCCGAGTGCCGGAAGGTACGGGGTATCGTACCCATGTGTTGTACCTTTAGATGTGTTGGCAACACGGAGTCGTCGATCAGCCATGATTGTCGAGTCTTTACTTTCTGTCAATGGCTCTGACCGGGAACAAATCGGGTTACTCGTATGCTACATCAGAATAATTCTTTTGTGCTACAACTTTTTCCTTGTGCCGTGTTTCAACTCAGAAACGCCGGCTGAATACGTTATCCACCAACCAACGGGAAAAGAAGAAGACCAAAATGCATTACATTGTTAGGTTTGTGGAAGAAGCAATAACATTATCAGGCCAAAAGATTCGAATTATTGTTGCTCATATGAAGTGGCCGGAAGAAAAAAAAATGAGAAATCTTGTCCAAGACCTTCAGATGCCACTTCTAAAGTTACATGCAAAGAGAGTTTTAAGGCTAATGCCTTCATATCTCAACCCTCTAGGAGATTATCCAAACTAGTTATGTAAAGCTTACTAGGCTCGGTTTTTAGATGTTATTGGTCATCCGCTCGAACGAGGGAGGTTTTAGGATGTTGATCCTGCTTTATTGTGACTGTGATTTCATCTTCTTTAGTGCAGTGTTGTATTCGACAGATGAGTTTCTGAACGGTACGTAGTTGAAAATTGCGGGTTTGGTTTCAGTTACGCGTTGGCTTGATAGGAAGGTAAAACAAATTTAATATATTTCTTGCGTTGCAACCGACATTAACTGACTTTACTTTTATCATTTTACGACGACGAGCAGGTTAATATTCAACATGCAAGCAATGTCTCTTGTGGATATGATAATGCTTGTGCTTGGACTTTCTTCGACTTGACCAGAATACATGACGAACATGATAATCAATGTATTTACAATTATCGATGTTTGTAGGCGTACAACATATGTGTTGGTGCAGTAAAAACTACTACAAATAAGGTGGCTACTTGTATCCACACGTTGATGCTGTGGAAGCTTATAAGAAAGCCATCAAGACATGGGCTATTTGGGTTAAAAAAAAAAATTATCCAAACAATTGGTTTTTTATCGTGGCTACTCGTCTGCTCATTTCAGGTATTATTTTTTCACTACTATGCTTTGCTTTGTTTGAAAAATCTTCTCAAATGATTCCAAAACGAAAACAATCTCTCACACTGAAATTTCTATATATTTGCAGAGTTGAGGACTGGGATTCGGGCGGGTCGTGCGATGGGGAAACCTAGCCCGTAAAAAGTGGGCCCATTATCGATAGCTATCCTACAAAGATGAGAATTGTTGAGGAAGTCCTTAGAGAAACTAGGGCGCCCGTCGTGCTTTTGAACGTCATGCGTTTGACCAATTTCCGAAAAGGCGGTCACCCCTCGGTTTTCGGTAGGAACGTGACAGGTGGCAAGAAGGTGTCGACCTGGAGACAAGATTGTAGCCATTGGTGTCTGGCCGGGGTGCCTGATGCCTGGAACGAGCTAATATACTCCACATTGGTTGCTCGACAAATTTAGTTACGCATTCTTATAAAACCTTTGGATTTTTTTGTAAGCGATGCCGATTAGTATAGTTTTAGTTGTTTGGAAAATTAGGACAACACATTCTTGCTTTTGTGAGAGTGAATATATACTGTGGTAAGACGGATTGCAGAAGCTTTTATCTGTGAGAAAAAAAGGCAAACACTGTTGGATTTTTGTTTGTTCAATGATAGTTTCCTCTCCTGTGCGACTTTTGTAAAACAATGTACATAAATTTGTTTTATCCTTTTTCTTCTTTCCCGTTTTAAAATAGTTTAACGGGGTACACAAGCACTCATTGGACATTGTTTTTGCTGTATATGGTTTTGGTACTTGTATGAATTGTAATGCATTTTATAGATATGTTGGTATATAAATAATTCATGATCTAATGTTGAATGCATTACAAAAGTTACTTGAGATTATGTGTTAAAACGTCGTGATCCTAAAATATTGAGATTTTGTAATCTTTGAACTAACTCTATCCAAATTATTGGCCCCAACACTATGTAATAAAAATGATTCGGGTCACGCTCTACATGACTATAATATGTCATCACTTTAATTCTGGTGCTCTCAATACTGAAACAACCTTTTAGTACAATTTATGTTATTAGAGGAAGCAGCAAAAGGAAGTCATATTAGAAAATTGGACAACTGAAAGAGCATATTTTTTTGGGTTAATTGCTAAATAAACCTTAACTTTTTTGCGTTTGGCAATTATATCCCAATCTTTAGGTAATTGCAATATAATCTCGACCTCAATATACTTATTGCAAGTCAAACTTAATACCGACTGGAACTTCAAAAAATTGGTCGATTTGAAGGCGGTTCGAACAGATCGGAGCTCATATTTACCGATTCACTCCAGATCTAGGAGAAGACTCATCACCGGTAGCTTACATTGACGTGGAATTTTCGGCTTTGTGCGTGGATATACATTAAATAAGTGGAAATTATCAACTTGCTACGTGAATGGCATAAAGACCCGTGTCCATGGACGACTTGGACACAAAATCAATTCACAAATCCCTAAAATCAATCACTCTGCACCCAAATTTGCAACAAGTAAATTAAGGTCGAGATTATATTGCAATTACCCAAAGATTGGGATAAAATTGCCAAACGCAAAAAGGTTAAGGTTTATTTAGCAATTAACCCTATTTTTTTATACTCGTTAATTTTTCATATTAATTCTCAATATATATTAATGCAAAGTCTTTAGATTATTCGAACTCACATTAACAAAAATTGTTACATCTATTTTATAAATAGAAAAATAAATTCATGCAGTTGATTCTAATTAATAAATATAAAATTATTGTCAATCTATGGACTGACAGTATTATACAATCTTATATTATATGTGTTAAATTAATTTTAATAATAAACAAAAAAAATTATATAGTCCGTCCGCCTAATAGACTAGTATTATATATATTAAAATTTAAATTTGTATATTCCTCAATTCAATAACTGTTAAGACTTAGAGCATCTCTGATGCTTAAATGTAGTTGTAGTAAATTACACTCTACATTAACATATTTAGCAAATTTTCAACTTTTAATCCTCCAATGCACAATGTTATTACAAATGTAGTGATGAGGTGGACATAATTAATGTCTACAATGTAAAGAATAATGTGGTTCATCCACATTCTCATTCACAATCTAGTCAACCAATTGAGAGAGGTGAGATAAATATTATTACCATTTTTAAAATATCTAATTATATAATTCTTTTTCTTTCATATTTATATTTTTATTTTATTTTTGCCAAGTTGACAATATTATGTTTGATTATATTGTCAATTGGAGACAATTATTTAAAATTAAAGTTGTTAACCTAATAATTATCTTATGTGGTTCACAATCTATCTAATTAATTGTCATTTGTCAAAAATTATGTAACAACTACATTTATGCATTGGAGATGCTCTTAGGTAGTTTGTGCA